GGGAGGCGCTGCGGCACCTGCGGGACACGCTGCGCCGGGCCGGCAAGCGCAGCTACACGCTGGCTGGGGGCAAGCCCAGCCCCACCAAGCTGGCCAACTTCCCCGAGCTGGACGTCTTCGTGCTGGTGGCCTGCGCCCAGAACTCCCTGCTCGACAGCCACGGCTTCTACCGGCCCGTGGTGACGCCCTTCGAGCTGGAGCTGGCCTGCAACCCCGCCCGCACCTGGACCGGCAGCTACCTCACTGACTTCAGGGAGCTGCTGCCAGGTAGCGCCTGGCCCCGGGGCAGCTCCTGGGGAAGCGGGGAACTGCCCACGCTGCTGCCCCACAGGCCCGGAGCTGGGACACCCCCCTGCCCCGTGGTCCCGCAGCACCTGCCTGTGGGGAGAGGCCTGAGTTGGAGCAGCCGGAGCTCCTCTGCCGCACATGGCGCTGCAGGGTGGGGCTGAGCGCGAGCTGGACGGGGGCAGGGGCGGTTTCACTCACCACGGGGTCCGGCAGGTGGCAACGCGCACCTGGAGTTCCCGGAGGCGCTGGGGGCAGAGGACGAGGGCGCTGACGTCTCGCTGATCACAGGGGAGCTGCGGGCAGCGCGTCTCGGCGCTGATCCCGTGCCCCCGGCCAGCACCGCCCTGGCCTGCCGGAGCCAGACCCTGGATTTGGCTGAAATCAGCCCAGCTGGTGGGTGCTTCATCTACATGCCCCCTCCCCGCGGCTCCCAGGCCCTGCACTGCCTGCCCGCAAGCCGTGCTCCTGCCCCGTGGCCGACGGCACCCACAGTTGGGGGTTGGGGCACCTGGGAGCCATGTCCCACCGCCCAGCCCAGTGACGCTTGCCGTCTCTCCCCAGCCTCTTTCCTGGAGTCGCGGAGCTGGCGGGGCCTGGAGCAGCATCTGGGCCAGACGCCGGTGCAGAAGGCAGTGGAGGGGCGCCGGGGCATCGCCATCGCCTACGAGGATGAGGCCTGTGGGTGACGCCAGCGAGGAGGAGATGCTGTGATGTCCCGGCCTGGCCTCCGTGCGCTGCGGCTCTTGTTGGGGGAGCAGAGACCCCCGGGCTGGGCCCGGGCCTGGCTCCCTGCCACCCAGACAGGCGGATGGGGGAGACGTAGCCCTGCCTGGGCCCTGCTTGTGTTGCATTAAAGACTGGACGGAGCGAGCTTGGCGTGGCGGCTGCCGTGGGTCAGGGCTGCGTCGTCCCTGCCCCACGACCCTGGTGGCGGCGCTGGCAGCAGGAGCCAGGAGGCTGGTCCGACCACAGAGCCCAGCCCCGTGTCCTCGCCCCAGGTCCTGTGGCTGCTCCTGCTCATTCCTCACCTCCCAGCTAAATTGGGGCATTTCAAACACTTGCTGGTTGCCACAGTAACGGGCTATTCTGGCTGTTGCTGTGCTGGTGCCGCATCATGGGGTGGGGGGTTGCATCCACTGTCCTCGGCCTTCCAGACTAGTGCTGAGGCCTTGCTCCTTCACCCCCTGGCTGCAACAGGCCTGGGCCTCCTGTGCAGCCCCAGCCCCCTGCACATGGGCCAGTGGCCTGGTGTAGCCAGAGGAAGGGGCAAGGGGGGAGGTCCCTGCCCCAGGGCTGTCAGGCAGGATGAGGCCAACAGCTGGGGCTCAGTGTATTTCACCCGTGTGCCCCCGGGCAGTAGGTGTGCGAAACGGCACCGTTCTGTTTCGACTTGCGTTTCGACAGAGCAGCGTTGCGTTTCGATTTGAAACCGCTGTTCTGTTTCGTTTCGTCGAAACCCTTCTGCTGTTTTGATGTTTTGCCCATAAGCTATAATGGGGAAGCATGAAACAACCTGTAACTTTGTCGTTTCTGGCTTGATTTGGATGAAACTTCTGAGGGCAAGATGCATGCCAAGTTTCAGCAAGTTGAGGTGCAGTTTCCCCAAAACTCCTGCACCTAAAGTCCTGAGAGCAAAACTCACGTTGCGTATGTGGCAAGGCGCAGCGAGGTCGCACCTGCAGGGCTGGCAGCTCTTACTGAGGCTACGACGCCTGCCCAGTTTCAAGGAGATCGGTGCAGGGGTTTGGGGGGAGCTGCCCCTCAAGCTGCGGCCAAGCACAACTCGTGCCACGGGAGACACGGCGCTAAGGCGCAGCAGGGTGACGGCTGCAGGGATGGTGGCCCCTGCTGCGGCCACAACGCCTGCCAGCTGTCGATCGGTGCAGGCCTTCTGCGGCTCTGCACCCCTAGGTGCTGACGGACAAAACTCGTGCCCTGGGTGGGTGACACCGCGTGTGTTAAGGTGCGCCCTCACTCAACTGACGCCAACCAAGGCAGAAAGCAGGGCAGTTCAAACAATGCTGCCTTTATGCAGTTTTTCCGTCCGTCCCCAGAGCCTGGGGACAGGAAGGGACCTCAGGGCAGGACGACGGGCACTGGCCAGCTGCGCAGTCAGTAACGAGAGCGCTCCTTCCTTCCCTCCCCGCTCACTGTAGTTTGTTTCCCTGCAGGCGAGCCCAGCTGGAGCTTCGAATTTCGAAACGTTTCGAAAATTTCGAAACGTTTCGTTTTGAGGCTGTTTTGATGTCGCTGTTTCAAGCTCGAAACAAGTTGAAACCATCAAAAATGAAACAGCGCCAGGTGCCTGGTGGGTGCCAGGGCACGATGTTGGGGGGCTCTCCCTCGTGTCACTGCTGCCCCATAGCACTGGTTCCAGATCTTGTTGGGCTGGTGGGCAATGGGGGGGGGGGGTCACATCCAGCCTAGCCCCGTGCCTTTCCCCCCTCCCCCCATCAAGACACACAGATCAGCACCTTTCCCCACTGCCATCCTGCCTTGCAGCCCGACCTGGGGCCTCGAGCCGTGGGTGTCCGAGCCTCCTGCTGCTGCTCCAGCTGGGAAAAGGCCCTGAGCCCTGTTCCCTGCGGCTGCGCCCGCACTGCTGCCCCCACCCCAGCACCCAGCCCCGCGGCCTGGGGGCAGGAAGGAGGTTGTTAAATACTCCAGAGCCCAGGCTGTGTCCCTGCTGCAGAGGAAGGCAAAACCCTCCGGTCTGAGCAGGGGGAAATCCCTTCCTGCCCCAGTGCAGCGTTGGGCTGAGCCTGAGCGCAGGGGCAAGACCCTCCAGCCAGGACCCTGCAGGTTGGTGCCAGCAGGAGCATTGGCCCAGCCCAGCCTGGGCTGCAGCACCCAGCGCCCCTGGGGGAGGGAGAGAGACCCCTGGGTACCTGTAGCATAAAGGGGGGGGGGAGATCCTTGCTGGCCCCTCATGTCCTCAAGCGTGTTCATGTGCAGCAGCTCATCCAGCGCGGCTGCTGGGCACAGGCTACGTGGGTGCAGCCGGGTGCTGTGGCATTGCTCCTCATCCTGGAGGGCACTGGCCCGTGTGGGGATGGGGAAGCCTTGGGCTCTGCTCCCTCCCTGGTGCCTGCCCCACACACAGAGCCAGGGCCCTCCCAGCTCCATCCTGCTGCCGCCGCCTGAGGAAGGGCTCCAGGACACGGGTTGGTGCCTCCCTGGGTCCATGGATGCTGCCTGGCCTGGTCTGTGCAAGGCAGAGTCCCACCGCGGTGGGCCCAGGCCCCTGCAGCACCGGGCTGTGGCACGGTCTCTTCCCACAGACCCGAGAGACCCAGCCGCTGCCCCAGTGCCAGCACGGCCTGGAGTCCCGGCCCCAGCAGCTGCTGGGGGAGAGGAGCGTGGCCTGGTGCCACCCTGTGCCCCCCACATGCGGCACGGGAGAGGCCTTGCTCCTGGTACAGCCGGCGGGTGAGCCTGCGTGGGCCCTGCCCAGTTTCCCAGCAGAGCAGATGCTGCTGGGCCCCCTCCTTCACCTGCAGCCCCTGTCTCGTCTCAGCCCCAGCATCTCCACTGCTGGCCCTGGGCAGAGCCGGGCCCAAGAAGGGGAAACCGTGGCTCCAGGGGTGTAGGGGGATAATTCAACATCCCCCGCAGCAGGGCAGGGTCTCCAGGCAGCAGAAGAACGACAGCCACGAGGTAGAAATCTCCTTAATATAATTAGGTGCAGGCCCCCCCAACCACACACACGTACAGGTTGGCTGGGCCGGGCCAGGCCGCTCACCGCCGCGGATGGCCTCTGGCGGGGCTAGGCGGCTGCCTGGCCGCAGCAAGGGCCGTCACTGCGCTCCGGCCACCCCGCAGGTCCTGCAGCCTGCTGCGGGGCACTGCCGGCGCCCGCGTCCCCGGGAGGGAGCATGCTGGGGGCGGGGGGGCCAACGCCGCGGTGCAGCGGGCCAGGCGAGGCGTCCCGAGCGGGTTAGTTCTAGCGGGAGGGTTACGCTACGAGCCGGGAGGCAGCGGGGCAGGTGGGGGGTCGGGGTCCGGGCCGAGCTGGCCAGGGCTCAGTAGTCCGCCGTGTACTCGGTGCCGTGCAGCCCCCGGCACAGCAGTGTGAACTCCTTCACCATCTCCTTCACCCGCCGCTTGTTCACGCGCTCTCTGTGGACAGAGACACAGGGACAGGCCTGAGCGGGCAGGAGGGGCACCGTGGCCACCCCCTTTTCCGGCCACTGCATTGCTGGCAGGCCCCCGTGGGGGTGGCAGCACACCCAGACCCCCCGGCGCAGCTTTGTCTGACCTGCACCCATAGCACAATGATAAGGCCCAGTGCCCATGGCCCCCAGCCCTGCCCCAGGGGAAGCATTAGTGCCCCCAATGCACCCAAGAGACCCCAGGCCATGTCCCCGCTGCAGCGGAAGGCAAAGCCCCAGTCCGCACCAGTCTGAGCAGGGGGGAAATCCCTTCCTGCCCCAGTGCAACGTCGGGCTGAGCCTGAGCGCAGGGGCCAGACCGGCCAGCAGGAGCACTGGCACAGCCCCGTCCCCAGCCTGGCACAGCGAGGGACCGGCCCCAGCAGCTGCCCTGCCCTTCTGGTGGCAGCAGCGTGGGCCACGAGCTCCCCGGGGCCGCGCCGGATCGGCAGGGGGGCACGCACCTGAGGATCTGCTGGCTGAAGGTGTCCTTCTGCTCGGGGCTGACGCGGGCGGAGGGGAAGCCGTCGGGCTGCAGCGCCTCCTTGATCCAGAGACTCAGGTGGCTGAAGCAGTGCTTGTTCAGGGAGAAGAGGATCTCGGCGAAGTGGTCCATGAGGCTGCGCGAGGCTTGGCCGCCGATGCCCTGTGGCACACGGGACAGGCCCGCTCAGCGCCGGCCCTGGCCTGGCCTCGGAGCAGCCCTCAGCGGACACACGCCCCC